ATGTGCTTGAGAGGCTTTAAACACTACAGATGTCAATTTGCTTATCACTAGGAATACAGCAAACAAATGTTTTTATTATGTTCTTCAGAATACTGTTATAAATCTGAATTTGCAGAAATACTATATCTTGCATATTGCACTGAAGTTGAACTATCAAAACTGTGTGTCTAACTTAAACTCACTTTTTTCTATTTAAGTTTCTTGTATTTCAACTGCAGGAAGCAAGTGTGGCTTTTAGTCCAAATGTACTGTTACAAGCAAGACTGGCAAGTGCATCTTAGAATTAAAATTGCAAGAAATTTAAATAACCCCTGAGAATTCCAAATCATTAAACATGTTGCAGTTACAGAAAGTGTCAAAAGAATGGATATAGCTGGTATCGGCAAAGCTTTTTCTTGTGAGGTGCATCTCTTTTGTTGGATCTGGCCAAGTTACTTTTGAGAATGAGTTTCTACTTAGAAGAAGCTGAGGCAAATACTGTGTGCATCTTCTGTGGAAAGAATTCTGGTGAAGCCTTGTTGCTCATTAACTGTAGCAGAAATTGAACTTAAGTCACTATTTTTCTCAGTTTAGAGTCTTTTATTAAAATAAACTTGTCAGTTTTTCTGATTTGATCCTTTCCACTTCTTGTCTCTGTTCTGTCTGCATACACACCTGCTGCTAACTGCTCTCCTCCAACGTTTGTTGAATCACTGAGTTTTAAGTAATTACCAAATTGTTTCAGCAATTGCAGATGTAGCTCAGTTTTCTTTGCTTGTTGGCCCTGTTCTTTCAAAGAGAGGGTGCAAGTACTCACAAGAAGATGCTTGCTGAGCTTTTCTTCATCCTCAGTATAAAATGAAAACACCTTCAGTTCTTCACTTCATCAAGTCCTTACGTTTTCATTATATTTTTGAGGAGCCTTAATTGAAAGAGGGAAATGCTAATTCTCTGTGTGGAAGTGAGCTATAAATCTGAAGTATCTGACAATGCCAATCAGATGGTTAATGACTGTTGGGCTATAATTACACAGAATTCTATTTCAATGGCTCTAGGTAGTTCCTCTGTGATCTGAATGAAGATCCAGAGTAGGTTCCTTTACCTTTCCTTCTGAAGAGTAGATCCCACTGAAAGAAAGGTTTAGTTTCTCTCTTACATTAAAAATAGTCTCTGTCTTTTCTTGGAATTTTACTAATAACCCTGCTTTCTAGTTTTGTGTGGCTAAGAAAAAACTGTAAGAATACTGCAGGAGATTTTTGTTTCTGTTTAACTTTATTTTTGTTTTTCCTCTTCACAGCACTTTTGGGGGCCAGTTGCCAATTGGGGTCTTCCTGTCGCTGCTTTTAATGACATGAAGAAATCACCAGAAATTATTAGTGGCAGAATGACATTTGGTAAGTTCTGAGACAAACTTCTTGTTAGGAAACTGACTCCAGAACACAGTTTCTGTCGTTTAAGCAGTGATATGTTATTAGTTGTCTGCAAACTTGTGATCAAAGCAGATATAGATATCAAATATCTTGTCACATAACTTTAGAGACCATTTAAATTGAGGTACTGAAAAACTGCAGAGCTCTTTTTTGGAAAGCTTTCCACTAATTTGGGAGGGGAGAGTGAAGCAGCTCTTGACCCTTATTAAAGACCAGACAGTCTACTGAAGTATAACTCCTATTATCTTAAGCTATTGCACACACTTGTTCAAAATGTATCTCTTCACTCAGTTTTATTCTTTGTATAAAGAACAATGATCCTTTGTGGTCAGTGTGAGATTTAAATATTTATCAGCACTTACAAAGTGAAGAAATGGTAATGATTGGTCAGCAGGGTGCAAGAAGCAGCAAAGAAGGCTTTAACTCCTTGCAAAGCAGTTGTCTATGAGAGACTATTGTGACTCTTAATGAGAAATTATTTTAAATGCATAAATAATATTTTTCCACCTCTCTTTGGAACATGTATAGTTTTTGCCTAGATGTCTGTCTCTATGTTCAAATTATTTCTTAGGATTGCAAATCTTGCAATTTTAATTTATTAGCTTAACTTTGGCATTATATCTCTTCCTTAATTCACTGAATAACTTAATTCTGAGTAATTCTTCTTCCCACAAGCAAAATACTTTTGGCTTAAGAAATTTTATAGTCCCATTATCATTGTGCTCTGCTTAGAGTAATTCAGTCCCTTAATCAGCTTCATTGAGACAGAAGACTAGTTTAAATAGTCTCCAGTACAGCAAACCTGTTTTGCCAATAGTGTTTTGGTGGCAGCTATCCAGTTCAGCAATGTTGAGACACCTTTTAAAATTTTTGCAAGTATATATTGTTTGGTTTGTGTATGGAACCTGGGGGATGAAAAAAGAATATTTGTGCTTTTAAAAAGGCTGTTTTCCTTTAACAACTAATTTTCCTTTTTTTTTTTTTTTTTTTTTTCTTTAAGCCTGTCAGAACTTTACAAAACTAGGGAATTCTTGGGTCAATCTCCTGTATTTAAATTATGGTAGGAGAGTAGATCAAAGTAGTTTCTCATCTTTCTGGAAAGCAGATAACAAAGCTTCATGTTTCTGATTCCCTGGACACTGAAAGCTCCTGATCTTAAAATGTCCCCAGAAAGAACTGTATTTAAGTGATTAGTGTCTTTAAAAATACTTTGTCTTAGAAATTGTCAGAATAATAGTATATGACAGACTGTGTTTCATTGAGATAAACTCTTATTTTCTGGCTGAGGTAATTTAGATAATAAACTAAAAATACTTCTGTTGCATCACACGATAGTGTATGAGTAAAATCAATTTTTTATGGAAAGCTGCAGCCATGTAGATTTTCTTGTGTAGTAGAAATGAGCACTCTTTTGTGTTTTCTTGCATTGGATCCTCAAAGTGGACATGGTTGTAGGGCTGTTGGAAAACTCATAAGCAGCAACAAATCTTCCTGTCATTACATTTTACTAGTAGGAGAATTGTGACTCAACAAAATGCAGATATTTACAGTCTCTTAACAAAATCTATCATCTTTTGCAGCACTGTGTTGTTACTCCTTGACTTTCATGAGATTTGCCTACAAAGTGCAGCCAAGAAACTGGCTTCTTTTTGCATGCCACTTCACTAATGAAATTGCACAACTTATTCAAGGAGGACGACTGATCAAATACAGGCAAGTCACATTTTTCAATGGGAAAGTCATAAACTGATGGCTCCTGGAATACTCCGTTATGATTTTCAACTGTGGTTCAAAGCTCTGCATGTTTTCTGAACTTCTTTACCTTTTGCAAAACTGTTAACGAGCTTGTTGTCAGTAGGCAGAACTTTTTACTTTGCACCTCCTTTGAATCTTCTGAGGTCTGCTGCACATAGAAAAGGCAGGAAGCTCTTATGGTCATGAGGGAGTGTAGACAGGGCCTTCAGCAGCTGCTGGCTATTTTGGGGGTTTTTTGTGCAGTCTTTTGGTTTATCTGCATGTGTCCATCTTGGTAATTAATTCCTGAGATGGAAACATCCATAAAACTGTGAAGGAGCTGTACATCTGGAAGAGAAGTCACACAAAACCTATCAGAGCTGACTGTTCATGAGGTGGAGCCAACTGAGTGTGCCTGGGGAACAGACTGTGATCAGTCTCACACCCCTGTTGTGTAGCAAGCAGTGCAGACACTGCCCCAAGCAATCCTGGTGATCAGGATTATGGGTTTTCTCTCTTCTGCCCTAAGAAATTATTGTGGAGCAATAGAGGATGAAACCTTCTGAATATGAATTAAAAAATGAAAATGTGCAAAACTGCAAGTGGACTTGTCTCTGCATAAGTTACTGACCAATGTCCTTCATTCATAAAGTTTTTGTAATAGCAATTGTATTTCAATATTCACTATTATAAAAGCTGTTTTTCTTTTGGCAGGCTGGAGAAAAAGAACTAAATATATTACTTGAAATAAGCCAGGGAATATATTCATCCTGAGTGACAACCAAGGAAGACATGCCACCCTACAGTTGTTGTGACAATTACAGTGGGGATGAAACAGAAACACCCAATTATGACTATGACCCCACCAAGAATTCTTCTAATTTTTTTTTATCTTGCCTTTTAAAAAGTACTATTCAGCAATGTAAACTGCTACATTTCAAGTCTTGCTGCCTTACTGATCTTTAATAACTACCCTTTCAATAAAACATCAGCCACCCAAATAACAACCAATACTTGAAAACCAACTTTTTTTATCTAAGAGTCTACAAAAGTAGCCCATGATGGTTTGACAAAACTAATTTTAAAATCAACATGAACAGAGGTCAGTAAACAGAACTGTAGGTCATATAATTGTTTATGTATTAACATATTCTTAAAAGCCATTTAACTTGAGTGCATTCCTTCCTATTCTATTTTTTTAACTTGAGCAGTGGCTTGCTGATGTACAAGAACAAATGTCTAGGCAGCCTGGAAATGAGCAGCCATCCCTCTTCCCTCACTGCTTGCCTTTTCTCAGTAAAGAGACTTCATTAACATCCATTTTCATGTCAGACGCTATTTAAAGAAGGCTTGGAAAAACAAAAGCATAGCACTGAATGAAGGAAGGCAACAAAGCCTGATACTGTTCTTTGAGAAGTTCTAAGTGGATTTTATTTTTCCCTACTGTTTGAGCTATTCTAGATGTATGTAATTCTTACACAGGCAAAAACTAAACTTGTTTGGAGTCTAAGATCTGAAAGACACAAAGTGCCTTTCAGTAGTTTTTGACTTCATTGTGAGAGTGGTTTTCCTGCATGATCTGCCTGAAAGTTACATTGCTGTAAAGGTAAAATTGACAAAGAATGTGAGAATGTACGTTACAGATTTTTTTTTCAGTGCAGTGGTTTTGAACAATAAACATATTCCAAATGGCAATAAAACTCTTGAATACTTGGAAGAATTTTGTTTTTCATACTGTGATAATAGACCCAAAAGTGAAATTTTATTTTGGAGTGTCACTTTATTACTGCAACACCATGAAGCAAAAACAGGCTGAAAAAGTAAATGGTATGTACTGCATTTAGGTAAGTGTCCTGTGGATCCCAATACCTAAAACCTCTTCCCCCAGCAGCAAGAAGAGTGTGTGGGTACTTAGACTTAGTAGTTCTAGTGTGATAGGCAAGGTTGAATTCAGAGCTTTCATTATGCAACTAAGTCAGTATTAGCTAATGTCTTCTAGCAATTAGAGCAAATCTTAATTGACCTTGTGGCCTGTGTCAATCAAAGCATTAATTATCAAGCTGTTTATATACCATTCCTTTGTTTAAAGGTGCTGGGTGTAAGGGGGTCAGTGCAATACTATTAAAAGGAGTTCTTGCAATAAGTAATTGTATGATTAGTCTGCACCCTACTCCTGGCACTGAAACATACTGGCTGTTTTAGGATGAGGCTGCTTGGGATAATTCAAAGAGAAGAACAATAGCTTAGAGTACTGGAAATGGTCTATTCTTGAGTTTGAATACCTTAATGGTGCTAATGGCTTCCTTTTGTTCTTTTCTTATTCCATTCAGGTAGCACTGAATGAAAGAATGGGGCTATGTGAGTTTCACTGCTTAATTATAAGTTAGAGCTCAGTATTTGCTTTTTATTTATAAGATTATAGGACTTGTCTGTACTTGCTATTGTTCTGAAATACCTACTTGGTTTTAATTTCACAACTTGGTTTAATAACAACTTTTCATCTGTAGGATATGTCCTGTCACTAGTAACCTGTCCTGCTCTGCTCCCAGGCACTGCCCTGTGTGTTCTGCTTCTGTTCCACCACAGTAAGATTGGGAACCACGTGGCCTTTCCTCTCTTTCCCGTGCTGCAGTGGTTATTGCTACAGCAACGGCTGTTGTCTTCTTTCATGTCTTCAGACAGAAAAGAATTTCTCACCAAGTCCTGCTACACTGCTGGTAAGGAATGCAATGCCCTTAGGAATTCAAGTGGGAGAGAGTACCAGCTAAATTCTCAGTCTGTCTCTTCCCCCTTTCTCCCTAGTTTGAGCTGGAGATGTCTTTAGTCACTTTTAAAAGAGAAGATGTAACACTATAACTGACCATGGCAACAAATTAGCTCACAATCTCTTCTGCTCTTGCAAGATTGAGCGTCCTTGATCTGGAAGCTTGATGATTTATTATTCAAATGTGGAAATAATTTGGTAATTACATTGACAGAAAGCAATAACCATAATTGTGTGGTCAGAAGAGAAGGAATTACTTTGCAAGGATTCTTTAATGAGTGTAATAACACCTACTGATAGTGAATTTTGTTCAACCTCACACAACTGTCTCATGCTTTATAATCATTTTAGCCAATGCTGCTATATATGGGTGGTAGAGTTGTTTTGGGGGTTTTTGGAGTTTGTTTTTGTTTGGGGGTGTTTTCGTTATTTTTGTTTCATTTTGGAGGATTTTTACTTCTAAGACTTCTATATAAAGTGAATGTTCCCTAAATGTTTAGCAGAATGTTCTGCTAAAACCAGCAGAAAAATCTCTTTGCCCTAGTGCTATCAATACGGCCTGCCAGCTCTCAGAGAAAACACATTTGTAGTAAAATGTAGTTCTCCATAGCATTGAGGGTTACCTTTTGTTCTCCATACAAAGCACAATGGTGTCATCTGAGCAAGGACAGCACAGCAGAGAATCGGGTGGGGAAAGTCTCAGTAAGTTTAGATACAGAGAAGGCAGTAAAAAAAGGAAGAGTTTTCTCCTTGGGACCAAGACGGGTTTTGACATGGAAATAAAGTGCTTAAAAAATACAGTCCTAGACTAGGACAGACCAGTCTTATAACTACTCCAGTGTTTTCCCTGAGTTTTTGCATGAATGCTGATACAAACTGTATTATGGTCAAACTAATATGTAGAGTGTCAAACTACCAAATGCACTTACTTCAGCTGTATGTGTTTCCATTGTACCATGAGTATGTGTTACACTGGTATGGGTACAGACACAAGTTATTTCTTTACCTGCCAGTTCTAAGAATGTGAAGGCACTCAAAAAGAGCAGGAATAAAAAGATGAGATAGTAATAGACAAGTAATAAAATAACTAATACTATTAGAGTGATATGTGCATATCACTTGGTCCAAAGCCCATGAATACAATCTGTTTCTTCATGCTCATGTTACAGACTTCAAAGTTAGCAGTAGAATATAAAACAATAATACAAGAAATATTCACAAGCACAGTTACCAGCTCTCTTAGGTTTTCAGCCTGTGTCTTACAGGGTCTATTGGTCCTATTTGCATTTGGGGAAGAACAGTGCTCACTGCCTGATGCAATATGACTGCAGTTCTGCTTCTGTAGAGCTGGAGTATTTCCGCTGCCAACTTACACAAAGGCTAAAAAGTTTGTTCTGATTGAGCAAGACATTGCTGCAAGTTTTACAATCTCTGTAAAGTAGAAAAGCAATCAGTCTGGTGTTTAAAATTAGGCAATTTCTTTATTAAATTAATTGTGGAGAAGCCTGTCTTTCCCCACCCAATCCCTTTCTGCCTTTGCAGATCTAATGCCTACCAGTGCACTGCATTTAGTCACTGTGGTAACCACTTAAAAATAACCAATGTCCATTGAATCAACTCAGTAGCAGCCAGAAGGCAGAAATATTATTTTTCTGGATAACCTGTTCCAAGTGTCATCACTGGGGCCCTGCTCCTTCCAGATCATTGCCTTTCTTTATCACATGGCCTAAGCCTGACCATGATATTATTGCTCTCTTCTTTTCCTACTCTTCATCCTTTCCCTTTCTTCCCACCTTCTTTAACAGCAGGTTTCAAGTAACCATGGCAGCAAGGCTAGGAATTCTATGCTTATTCATTTCATCTGAAATCTGAAACCTGCATGGAGATAACTTGTCCAAACCCAGCCTTTGGTGCAAGAGAAGGCAATGTCAGTTATGGCAGCACTTACATGCTGGCTGTATTTGGTCCATTGTGTTAGAAAAATGTAAAGGTAGAAAGTAAGCCACTTAAAATTTGCAAAGTATTTAATAATTTCAAACGCATTTAGTACATAACTTACTCAGAGGAGAACCACTGCTATAACTTGCTCTAATTGATGTTGATTTGTAGGCTGACAGGAATGATTTCATAATCGTGTTCCTAGTCCTATGGTATGTGTTAACTTAAGGGGTGCCTTCTCAGAGTGGTATCAAGTGATGTAAATTATATCAGTATACTCTTTCAAGAGGAAATGTACTGTGAAACCTTAAAGGTGTCTCCTGCCAGGACAAGATATTAATCTCCTCTAATCTGTCACTGCAGTTGGACTCTGACTGGATCTGAGATCACAGTTTCAGGACAGAAAGATCTCCAGATTTTAACTTGTTTCAGTGCCAAGGGAGATTATCTCAAATGTTCGTATGTTGCAGATTTGGACATACCACATCTCCTTGCACCTAGGATGACTTAAAATCCTAAAACAATTGCTGTGTTTGTTCATGGGGAAGCTATGCAAAGCAATGATTACGAGGTATTTTTGTACGCACTTGATCCTGTGGGTCATCTGCAAGCAAAGCAGAAAGCCAGCAGTGTGATAAGTAACCTGTCTATTACTTAGTGTGTCTTATACTGTAACTTGGTAAACATCAGCTCTCAGCCAGGTTACTGTTAGTAACAGGAAAGGCTCAAACATTTCGCAGGGTTTCCAATAGTGTAGCAGCTGACCAAGTGTCTGCACTACCTGATCTGAGTGTATGATGCCACACAGAGAACAGCTCATAAGGCTGTTTGTTACTTCCTTGCAAATGTGTTGTTTTGGCCACAGTGAGCCAATAAAGGCTTTTACCTTTCCCTCCAAAGTTTTGCAATAGCTCATAGTGTTCCCGTGAATCACACACTTAGCTGGCTACTACCAGGTGCCTGCCAAGCACACTGGGAAGTAGCTCATCTATAGCTGGTTTTTGTATGCCTCAGTTTTCTAGACCAGAGACCCATGAGAGGTTATTTTGTGTCCCTAGAGAAGTGATGACTGGATCTAAAAAGGTCTGAGTCACAGCAGAAACAATTATCATGAAGCTGGATGAAGCCACCATGTGGCTTGTGACTTAGGCTGATCTGCAGACAAATTAGAAGAGATGGGTTTCTGGAACTGAGGTGTAAGAAAGGAGATACCTTTTTCAGCTTTTGTTTCCTTGTTCCTTGTTTTTGAATTACCACTAACTGTCACTGTCAGCAATGTTGGAAGATGTTCATAGTTGCATTTGCAGACACATAAGATCTTTTCAAAATATACAAAAGGCATTCATTCCCCACTTAAGTTCCCTTCCCTTCAGAGTCTTCAGAAGCCCCTGCTTTGTGTGATGTGAGTTGTTTGCACCACACAGCAGGATTGAGGTGGGGTCTCATCAAGTGGAATAGGCAAGGCCCCAAAGCAGCTCTTCATTTCATTTTCTACCATGCTCCCAGTAGGGTCTCTGTAGGATCACTTGTTTAACATTTCTTATAACACCTGATCTTAACCTTTCAGCAGTATTCATTTAAACATCCCATTTCCAAAGGTAAAGAATGCAAGTGTGGGAAGAATACAGGACATTGGAGCCCTACATTATGACCAGAGCAATCACAGAGTTGTTATTTTTGTGGAATATGTGTTTACAGGTTTACAGCTGTTACAGCTACAAGACTGAAGTGTACAGACACTGCTCTATGTACATTAAAAGTACGTCACCAACTGCATCAATTCAGTAAGTTGGCTGAATTCACGCATTTTTCAGGAAGACAACATTACCTAGCAGATTTTCTGGTTAGCTTCAAATTAGATGCAGATACATGCAAACCAGTAAGGTCAAGAGTCACTAAAACTTATAAGCAAACCACACCATCCCTTACAAACAGAGAAACTAAGGCTTGCAAATCCATAACACTGTCATCATAAAAACAGAAAATATCTTCAGATGTGGTAGGTTTGTGATCTAAAGGCATAATGATACTTTGTACCAGCTATTTTGACTTGTGCTAGCAAAAGAATTTTACCTTTTTAGAAAAGCAGAGTAATTTTCTGATCCTGCTGCCTTATCAGCCAAAGTTCATCAGCACAGAAACACTGAACAACAGAAGCCTTCCAAACGGACTCTTTTTTCATGGCAAGGTAATGATTGTCTCATGGTATTTCATGACAGTACACAGAATTAAGAATTTCTGTTGAACAGAGAAATAGGAAAAATACATTTGGGGTGACTATGACAACCTTCTGCCCTAGAAAATAGCAAGGAAACAAAAAACACCCTTTGCCTCATTCAGGAGTGAAACAGCTGTGGGTTCCAGGCAGGCTGCACAGCCCAGGCAGCTGCAAGTGGGAAGATGGGACAGCAGTAGGATTCAAGCTGGATGCCCCACACTGCCCAGGTGTGCACTGCTCTTCTCTGTGCACTTGTTCACACAGAAACAAAAGAACAGCTTCAGCTTCCCTCTGCCAGGTGCTTACCTGTACTACCAGAAAGTCATTAGTAATCCAAGGCACAGCCAACCACTCCTGCCTGAAGTCATGCAGACCAGAAGGCTAGACTCAATATTTAAATTTGCTGCCTCTATCTTTCTGTAAATTGAGAGGGGAGAAAAAACCAAAGAGAACTTTCTTGGTCTTATATTTTGGTCTCACATATGCTTTGGAATTTAAACACTTCTGTAACAAATAATTTTGTACAATATTGGGGGCCACTAAGAAAGATAATTTGTGCACATTCAGACACACCGTCATATACATTCTCCATTCTTTCTCCCATTTCTCCTCCCCTTCTTGCAGGGTCATGGTTTTGTTGTTCCCTTACACACTTGTCCTCCTTGCGGAGGTCCTTACAAGGTATGGGCAATGCTGCCTGGCTTAGGTGACATTCTGTGGTTCTTTGGTTACTTTCACCCTTTCACCCAGACATGTCTACAAGTGTTTCTTCCATTATTAATTTCAGCCTTGACTTAAAGCTTCCTGAGATGCTAATGGTCTGTTATCAGGCTGGAAAGGTGCAGTTTGTGTCCAAGGGTTTCACCTAAAAGCCAAGATACAAGACACACGGGAAACTTCCCAAGTGTGTGTGGGAAAGTGAGGAGAGTGGGAAGGGAAGGTTTCTGTCGTAAGGGCCTCACTGGGGGTTCTGCTCTGCCCTGGCTGTTCTCAAGTTTCATTCACACAGCAGCATGTTACACAGCTCTTATCACCCATCTCCCTCTCCTGTCCCAGTCCACACTGCTGCCTGCTGTCACTTTGCATGTGACACCTCGATCCTTCCCTCCAGTCACCAACCTCATTCCCCCTGCAAACGAGTCAGGCCAGTGCTGAGGTGTTGTCCAAAAACAGACACACGCATACAGAAACAGCCCCAAAGGACACACAGGGGCAGCTTATGAACAAAGCAGGACAGGGAAGGCTTACATGGAATGACCAGACTTGAACGGGGCAGATGGAGAATGGAGTGTTGCTGGGAACGCGCAGGCAAAGCTAAGACACAAGAGCAGCGTGATGGACTCTGCCCCACCCTACAGGGGCAGAGCTTAACAGCATCACACTGGAAATCTCTGGAGAAAGGTGTTCACACCTAATCCCATTTCTCCCTACCGGATCCATTCTAGCTGGAAAAACACCCAGCTTGCTAACAAGTGGGCGCTGGAGGGCTCAGGCACCCCCAATTCAAGGAGGGACGAAAGTGCTGGCGCTGCGGTCCGCAGCGTGCCTGCCTGCTGGCAGTGAATGACCAAAGGCCGGGCTCGCCTGCACCGTGCCCGTGAACAGCCAGGCCAAGCCGGACACCGCCGGCTGCTCAGAACAACACCGTGCTCCAGGGCCATCCTAGAGCACACAGCACAGGATCGCATTCAGATGGTTCTTGGACACATCCACTGAGGGAGACTACACAACATCTCGGGACAATCTGTTCCGGTACTAGGTCACCTGCATAGTAAAGACGTTCTCCCCCGTATTCAACTGGAACTTCCTGTGCATCATTTGAAGAGCCAGGTTCTGCTCGGTGGTGCCAAGCAAAAGGACCACAGGCAACGGGCAGAAACTGATGCTAAGGAAGTTGCACCTGTACGAGTGTCCCAACGAGGTTCTACCGGAGCCCTACGCACGCGCGGTGGTGTGTTCTATCTCCTGCGCTCATCGCGCTCATGCAAATCACGCTGCCGTGCGAAGGCCGATTCCGCGGGCGGCGATGAAGGCGGGGTCAGGCTGAAGAAGCCCTTCTTCTTCCCCGGTGCCTCCAGCGAGGGCTGCATCGTGTGTCCCTGCCGCATCCGCACACACAGCTAGACGCCGCAGCCAACGCGGCCCCGTGGGAAAACGCGGCAGCGGACGGGACTGCGCAGGCGCGGCCCCGCCGCCGCCTCGGCGCGCGCGTCACTTCCCGGCTGGGCCGGCGGCCCGCGGCGGAGCGCGGCCCCATCCTGACCCCCGGCGCGGGCCTGCTCAGGGAGGGCCGGCATGGAGAAGCTGCGGCGGGTGCTGGCCGGGCAGGACGATGAGGAGCAGGGACTGACGGCGCAGGTACGGCCTGGCGAGAGCCCGCTCTCCCTTCCTCTGCCCTCCCCGGCGCGGGGGCGCGCAGGTCGAGCGGCGCTGGAGCCTCCCCGCGCCGGGCCCGGCCCGGGATTTGTGGCTCGGGCGCTGCCGTGTTCACCGCGCCGCCTTCCCCGTCCCTGGCCTGCGCACACGCACACCCCACTTCCCGGTGCCTGCCCGACCGTGTCAGAGCGGGGCAGAGATCGGGAGGCAAGGGACAGACCGAAGTTTGCGACGTGCGCCGAGGGACGAGCGCTGTGGGCAGCAGGCTCTGCCTGGAGGATGAGTTTTGGCGAATTACTTTTGTGTGAAACTTTTGGCTGTGTTGGTAGCTTGGGGTCCTTCAGTTTCTACAAGTTTTTCTTGTGCTTAAGCAGGGAGCAGATAACATACTATGCTTCTTTCCAGCCCGATTGAGTCTGCGACTCAGTGTAAATTGCTTCTCCATTCCCTTAAGGCCTTAAATTTGCAGAAACAAAGGTTTTGTTTAGACAAACATAGTTTTGTATACATTCTGCTGAAGTTGCGTTTTGCTCCTTACTCCTTAAGTATGGCTTAATTGTTCTATTTTCTTCCCACTATCTTCCTCATCGTCAGCGGTTTTGTTTCCTTTTTACTGTGTTTGTAGACCATACATTCCTGAGAACAAATCTCTAGGTTGAAGCAAAGCTGAGCATGCTTACAAAGAACCATTTATTCCTTTAGCTCTCTCTTAACTCATGTGACTGCAGGTCAAAATGCCCCACATCAAGGAGTATCTTCCTTGCTACTTCCAGGGTGCTGGAGCATGGTGGAGGAGGCTGAAATGTAGCTGGGATCTGAGCTGTGGCTAACAAGCCTTGGGGAACCAGCGCAAACTGAGCACAGCTGGTATGATATTAGTTCTAGCAGCTTGCTGCTGGCATACTTCACTTGATTTTGCACTGAGTTGCCATTGGTCTTCAAGGTTCATGAATTTGGCCTCTGCCACAGCAAAGCACCTGAATTGTGTCCACTGATTCTGGAAGCAGTGTAGAATCTTTTCCCTTTCACACCAGAACTGGCTGCCAGCATTTGGGAGGGATGCTTCACCTTCTGCGTCTCTCAGGATTACCAAAGAAATACTTTCATTTCTGTTGATCTCAGTTGAGTTCCAAGAGAATTTATTATTCTGCCACCACTAGGCACATTTCACTCAAGGCACATGATAGTGACACAGAGTTTTCCTTTATTTGGTGCTGTGATAGTTGTTTTAAGGTGGCAATCGGTAGATAAATGCCTACATATTCAATGCTCTTATATTTAAATTTTATATCCTGAGGAGATAACTGAGTTAAAAAGGTGTTTAATTTGTTAAATGTCAGTAGTTAAACTATATAGGATTTCACTATTGTATGTAACGATACTGTTACAGCCAGAAAAGACTTTAAATAAGAAAAATCTGCCTATACTTAAAGCCTGTCCGGTACATGATAGAGTAAAACTTATAAATGTGTCTTTGGAGTGTCATGCTGAGATGAACCAGAAAGATCTTTAAAATAAATAAATACCCTTGACTTAAAAAAGAAGTGTTTAGGTTAGGCAGTTTCTCAGCTATATTTTTTCTCTCAAGGTAGCATTGTATTTGTAGAACAGCCTCTTTTTAGAGAGGAAATTCATACACGACATTCACTAAAGCTAGAGCTAAGTGGTGCTGACTATTTTTAAAATGCGTGTATTAGAGCAAAAAAAATAAGTGCACCCATGCAGAGAAGAATGCTTGGTAAGAGGTGGGGCTGTGAAAGAAAGTGTGAGGTTATGCATTGTGTGTGTAAAAAATTTTCAGCTGTTTCCATGATCTTTCTGGAGACGAGTCATATGTTTGGCTGAAAACAAAGGTCCTCTCTTTGGAATATCTGATTGTTGTGTAATAGCCATCATATGGCTATTATATATACATATGGTTATATATATTATTATATTTAGCTAATTGTATGTACATATTATATTTAGCTAATTATATATACATATTCTATATACATATATACATACATTATATATACACATATATTACATATGGTTCATGTCCATAGGTTTCTCTGGATTCTTTCCCTTGGTTTTTGCAGAACCATTATCATGAAGTCACAAGTCATTCCTGCTAAGAAGAAGACGAGTCTATAATGAAAGAACTGTGTGATGATTCAGGGAAGTTTTTCTGTACTTTCTAAACTCTTCAGATGACCAGCTGTTGTTTCTTGCTGCAATTAGATCCATTATTCTAAATATAATCTAAAAAAATAAATAAATTCATTACCAAAAATATCAACAATAAATAATAAATGTAGCAGTGCTATGATGTTTTCAGGGCAACATTATGCTGTTTAGTTTTATCAACACCAAAACTAATGTAAAATCAGTCCATGTGACACATTGGATGTTGCACGGCAGCTGCTTAAAGCACTCAAAAAGATTTTAACAGAGGAATAGACCAGGTATTTCTTTATTTTTTTAAGAATTTGTATATTACATTTCTTATATTACATATCTTACATTTAATTTCTTATGTTACACATTTTTTATTTTAATCTCAGCTGGTGATAGTGATAGAAATACATATAAGGAGGCCTGTTAAAGAAAGATGAGAATATATTTCTATACATATTGTTCCACTGTGGTTTAGAAACTCAATTCTGCAAATGTACTCAATGTTTCTTTGCATTTTCTCCATTACTTGCATATTTACCATCGATAGAAGATGTAATTGTTAACTTCTAGATTAGTAAACATAAAGTGGTTCTGTTTTTCTGTTTGCTCATGTGCAAAACTGATATAAGGTAATATGTGGGGGGAACCTAGGTGGATGTTCAGAGCCACAAGAACTATTTTTGATCAAAAGCAGCCTATTGGATTATCATTTATATTGTTTATTGTGTGTCCAGTGCAAACTCTTTAGCAGTGATGCTGCTATTACAAGCCTGTTCCTTATGTTTCAGACAGTCTCCATTGTAGATTCCAGTTTCCACTTGGGGGTTCCTCTTGATTTTTGGATGTTTTGCTCATTTCTTTCATATATTATTAGTTTGAAATAGCCTTTGAATAAAAAGCTTCTTGCCCAGGAGTTTGGCATTAAAGTTCATCAGTAGAAAGCAAAGGATTTCCTTTTGTTGATTTCAGTTTAATTTTTCTTTTTCTTCTTAGAAACAAGCTGATAAGCAGTACAGTAAGAAGGGTATGTTTTAGAGGAACTCCCTTGCCACCACTAGTGTTCTCCACACAAACCACAGATGTGGAATGTGCTTGGAAATTTTTTCAGTCGCCTAAGTAAAAGCTTTTTCTAATCCAAATACCATAGACTGCAATAACAACTCTTTTTATCTGAAATCTGGGATTAGCTGTATAATTTATGTCAGACACACAAAAAGAATCTTTAGTGCCTTTGTGTTGTTTCCTGCTTTTGTTGCAAGGGCAGCTTAGACTTCCTTTTTCTTAGGGCTCATAGTCTCTGTTACCTCAGGATGTCCCATGGTCCCTAGTATTGAAATTACTGCCTGCAGCATGTGTGGCAGGGTTCCTGCACTGTCAGGTCCTCAGCTTCTAGAGTGAGCCTGGCATTTGAGCACAAGCTGGTGTCTGTGGTTTACACAGCTGAACTGTATATCGGTAACTCAACTTTTGCAGCAAGGTGCTTCTCTAGCGTGGTCAAACAGGCATCTTGGAAAGGCAGTGAGTTCCATTGCTTCCGGGAAACCCAGAAGGTATAAATTGTAGAATATTATTACTTGAAAGGGACTCACCAGGATTATAGAGTCCAGTTCCTGGCTCTGCACAGCACCATCCCCAAGAATTCTCTGTGCCTGAGAAAATTGTCCAAATGCTTCCTGAGCTCTCTCAGGCTTGTGCTGTGACCACTTCCCTGGGAGCCTGTTCCAGTGCCCAGCCACCTTCTGGGTGAAAAGCCTTTTTCTAATATCCAGCCTAAACCTTCTTTCACAGCTTTGGCTGTTCTCTCATGTCATGTCTCTGGTCACCACAGATAAGTGACCAGTGTCTCCCACTTTGCTTCCTCCCATGAGGAAGCTGTAGACTGCAATGAGGTCTCCCCTCAGTCCCCTTAAATATTAGGGACTAAGAAAATGCATTACCAGGTCCCCAGTTTCAGGATTTCAATGTATTAAATGTATTAGATGTATTAAATAGATTGAGCTTGACAACATAAATGGTGACACTGTTGGGAATGGTTGGAAGGACGAGCCTTCATTTCCATACCTTTTAATGTATTTAGTCTCATTATTACACAGGATGCTCTGGCAGCCCTCATGTCACAGCATATCTTCCTGTAGTTCATGTACATATATTGTCAATCTATTTTTAAGAGTTAAAGCCATAAAATGTATCAAACTTTTAGGGGTTTGTGGTGTTTTTTGGTCCAAACCTTTGTGTGGTTCTCTTATTTCTTATGCTGGATATTTTTTTTTGTTTGTTTTTTTACCTCTTAACTGTTAGGGATTTAACTGAAGGTAAAGCTGTTTTCAAATGTATTTGAAGAATGAAATCTGGTAGCTCTTCAGGAGCACTGTCAGATAATAAGATTAGAAGAGCAGTAAGTAGCAGCAATGAGCCTGATGCATCTGAATAAAGGATTTATCTTCATCCTTTCCCTGTTTTCTAGGCAATCTGAAATGTGTGTGTTGGGTTTACTGATATTATTGGCCTATCTACACTTCATTTCTGAACACAGATGGAAAAGATTTTTACTCTTTATTTTTGTGTGTATGTGTGCTTGTGATTAGTTGCATGAATAGGTGTAACTAAAGGCATGATTGAAATGGGTATCTTCAGCTGTGTGCTACCAGTTGTTCCTACTCGTCTTAAAAATGCAGGCATTTAGGACTCTGACTGTCGAATATTATTTCAAATACTAAACCATTGTTTAGTTATTGCTTTTGTCTGTTTTTTAATGCATACATAAGGATAAAGTGTTGGACCTAGCAAGGTAAGCTGCATCTTCTGACCTTTGGAAAATTTTGTCCTCACAGCACCTTTATGTGTGTGTGCATGTTGCAGTTTTTTATTAAACTAGATACAGAGTCCTCATTTGTACAAATGTGAAATTGTTCTAAGCAGTAATCAGATTTCCTTGGTTAGCTTACCACTGCCTGAGAAATTTTTCAGGAGATAAAGAGAAATATCAGACTCATTGGCTGGGGAAGGTATATAGTGCATATTCGGTTGATAAGTCTTGATTAAAATACCTGTTGACTAAATAACAGGAGAGCAAGTTTGCCTGTGACAACTGAACTAATAGGAAAGTTGTTTATTTAAAGTAATTTTAGGTAAGCTGAAACAACACTTCGCTTAATAGGCCAGTTCAGAACAGAAAGTGCATTTAATTGTAGTGACCTGGAATAAGATGAAATGCATTGTTCTTACAGCATGGGTGGAGATGAGCTATCTAGCAAATCACTTCTGCTGAAAGGGACCTTTCTGCCAGATACATGGCGCTGCCTCTTTCCTTACATCAGCCCTGCTGCTTTTCAGCCCAGCTTGCAGAGCTGGCTTGGCTCGTTAGCCAAGTCATCAGAATAGAAGGAACATTAATTCTGTTCTCATGTCAGGAGTTGTATCAGGTAGCTCAGGTTCTGGAGTCACTCTGGAGAAGCAGGAAGTGAAATATTCCTTTTCAGCAAGTTAGCTTAGTCTAATGAGACAAACTGTTAATTTGCCTACACCTTCAGGAAGGTAATTGGAAGAGAAATTGGAGTTGTAATGCTTGCAGTGGCTACTGGCATTAATATGTACGACGGATCCTCTCTAGTAACAGAAAAAGGTGGTAATGTCTACAGGAACCTAGAGTGTTGCACAAATGGATTCAATCCTTTGAAAATTGTTGGCAGGTCCATTCATTTATTTGGTTTGGTACTTAGCTGTGACTATTTTCAGTTGTGTGGTGATTAACAAATCTGTTTGAAAGTGAAGCAGCATTGCTTGTGTGCCAGGATATACCTCTATGGGTTCTGTCTTTTTTGTTTGTAAATATGTTTCCATATGGTCCAGACTGATAATATGATTTTGTAATATGAAAGAATTAATACACAAACAACTGTTAAGCAAGATAAAATAATTATTTCCAGCTAAAAATTGTTTTGTTTGAAATTAAGTACTTCAGTGGTAAAGAAAAAAAGTCCTTTAGATTGTTCTAAACTGGGTTTGTAATACCCTCTTTTTCCTCTCTTCTTATTAAGGTCCTTGATGCCTCAACACTCAGCTTTGGTACTCGAGTCAGATGGTTTGCCATATGCTTTATTGCTGGCATTTTATGTTCTTTTCTTGTAAGTAAAGTTATTTTTTTTTCTTGGGCTTTATTATTGTTCTACAGTTAAATCTCATTCATATTCCTCTTTTATGTGTGATTCTACGTTTTATACTGCATTCTGTATTTTGTGTGCTTTTATTTAACTGGACATTAAATGTATAATTGGCTGTTGATCTCTAAATTATTATTTTGGCTATTTTTCTTTCAGTTACAAAAGTATGCATTTTTACTGTAGCATAATGCATTTTCTCATTAAAAGATTTGAACACTGCCAAAATATGCTCTATTTTTGTAACTGGTGTATTAGGATAGAGGTGTGTACCCATCTGATTTTTTTTTCTCTCCAATAAAAGGACAAAAGAGGGGGAGAAGCTTGAAAGGTTATTAAAGGCTGAAGAAACCACAAGTGTAGCATGTCACACTCCACAAATTAATGGGTGTGGTTGTGTGTTGACACTTGAAAAACCTGCACTCCTGGTGGTTTTACAGTCAGTAAATCATGTGTTCATTCCTGAACTTTAGGGGCTGGCAAGAGTCTGCAGCCTGCAGTTAAGAGTTGAGATCTATTAATTTCTTGGCTCTGTCAAAATCTGACACAGGTAACTTGCACAAGAAGGCAGTTTTGGTTTGGTTTTTTTTCAGCTGCATGGAAACTCCCAGAAACAGCTGAAAAAACATTGGGGAAGTCCTCTGCTTTTCCTTCTTCTCTATTTTCCTTCCTCTTCTATTTCCCTTCCCTCCCTCCCTCCCTCTTTTCCTTTCTTTTCACCACGGATTTCCACTGAAATTGCAATTGAGTAGAATGTGGTTACTTTTTTGTTGGTGTGTTTTTCAGGACACAGTGTGCAGATCACTATTTTTCTTCTAGTGGAGGCTTTCTTTAGGCTCTGACAGGCTGAGAAAGTTGGGTCTGTACAGCCTGGAGAAGAGAAGGTTGTGTGGAAACCTCATAGCAGCCTTCCAGTATCTGAAGTGGGCTTACAGAGAAGCCAGGAAGGGGCTTTTTGTTAGAAGCTGTAGTGATAGGACAAGGAGTAATAGGTACAAATTGAGAACAGGGATATTTAGGTTAGATATACGGAAGAAATTCTTTATTGTGAGGCACTAGAACAGCTTGTCCAGAGAAGTTGTGGATGCCCTATCCCTGGCGCTGTTCAAAACCAGGCTGAATGGGGCTTTGAGCATCCTGGTCTAGTGGGAGGTGCTCCAGCCCATGGCGGTGGCAGTTGTATCTAGGTGATCTTTAAGGTCCCTTTTCCCTTTTCTATGATTCCTTTTCTCCTTTTCTTTCTGATCATCCTAGGGAACTGGGATCAGCAGAAGGCTTTGGATTTTTTTTAGTTCAGTGGAAAGAAGAGATATCTGGAACTAAGAGTTCTGAAATGTTTCTCTTCAGCCTCAGTGTATTTAGGCTGCAAATCTAAATTGTTGATTGGAGGAGAAAGGAGATGGTGAATATTAGTGCAGCTCTATGACATTTTATCTTGTGTGCAGAGGTGTAGGATGTACACTGGGGCATTTTAACAAAAGTGGAAGTGTTGTGAAGGAGGATATAAACAGTACAAATAAATGTGTTCAGTAATATAAACAAACTGCCTAGTTGTAAAAATATCCAGAAATCCAGTGAACCAACACATTGTTTGCCAGCAGGTGGCAACAGAAGTGTGCTGGGTAGTGACTGCTGCAACTCTGAGAACAGTGTACTTTGCTAGTGTATGTCAGAAATATGTTCTTCATAGTATGAAGTTATATTTATAGACTATAAAATCTAAATAAATTGAATTAATTAATTGCAAACGTGCCAATAACCTGTCTTTTATAGGGAACAGCATTGCTATGGCTCCCAAAGGGGATTAAACTTTTTGCAGTGTTCTATACCCTGGGAAATATTGCTGCTCTTGCCAGGTACGATTTCTTACTTATTACTTTTAGAAAAGTACCTTCCTTTTCAGCTACATTTCCATTTGCTTTTACTCTACAGTGCTATGTTGTGTGTACAACATTGTTATATATTGAATGCTAATAACAAAAACTTGTTTGTTTAATGGTTTTGTTGTTTATCAGTTACCTTACACAACTGTTGGTGAGCACATCACAGCTGGTATCTGAAATATGAATAACAAATTGGTAGCTGAATGTTTATTACTCTTTACGTGTAAGTCCTTCTGCCAGGTACAGAAGTACCTCAGCTTCAGGAGCAAACTGGTAGTCTGCCCTCTGTGTGGATACTTAGTTACTGGAAGGAGCTTTTTGCTTTTAACAGAGAGATCATACTGTTTCCAAGAAAACTTTCAGAAAGGAAACATTCAGGAAATCCTTGTTTTGACTGTAAGGCTGAAGGCAGAATCCAAAATTTGCTCATAGTGTATTTTTAAACTCTCTGATTCTTTGAAATTTTCCCCATAACAGTCCTAAAAGATTTGCCTCGAAAAGGGACCCTCTTAAGACTGAAAACTTTGCTTTCACAGTTTGGAAGACACATAAGAAACAAGTTAATGTCCCTAAGGTATTTTCAATTTCTGTTTTTCCCCCTTCTCTTATTATTTTAGTGTAGTTGAGGCATGGTCATGGGACTCAAACACAAAGCCTGGTCTTGACTTCTATGGACTCCGACTTCAGTCAAGCAACTTAACTTTTGAGTCAAAGCTTTTTTAATCTGTTAGAATTCATGTAATGTGGCAATAACATTTGAGAAACATGAAGGTACTGCTTTTCCACAACAAATTTGTTAGGAGACAATAATGTCTATACTGACATTGAGTTTCAATTGTGGAACTATTCTATCTCATACTAAAACAAGACAAACAGTTAATACTGGAGATAGTCAAAGCTAAGTTTTTGCCTTTCTCTCACTTATCATAATTTTATTATTTGTTGTTGATTTCAAGTGAGGTTTTTACCTGGTACTTTGAGTGTGTTTTCATTTCTTCAAATTAAATGAGCATTTTAGAAACTTAGTACTAATTAAGTCTCACTGAGTTAAGAGGAAAGTTTTTACAGACTAGTATTTCTTTAAGGAGAATGCTGAAAAACTTAGTCTGCACTCCAGCTAAAATTAGAAGGAAAAAGAGGCTCATTTTTCCTTCACTAGTCCTTTTGGATATAAGAAATAGGCAACTGTGTTCTAAGAACAGTAGGAGATGATAATGAAGTTCCAAATTGTCAAGCAGATTTAAACTTTTCCAGGCTTCTTTGCAAGTCTGCATTTAAACCAAAATGCAGTTACCACTCTTACTAGCCTGTTTAGGCCCCTCTAACTTGTTTTTACTATTGTTTTCTAACCATGAACATGAAAACAATGATACTTACTTTATTGTTCTCAGGGATCACGAGTGTGTCTCTACACAATGGTTTATCTAAAAGAATTTTTCTGTTTAACTGGAGGATGTCTAGAATTTTTCTCCAATGTTTCTGCTCCGTATGGAATCTCTTCTTGTCTCTGGAGTAGCTCTTGTGATGTCAGTATTCTCAATATGAATCAGATTACAAACAATGTATTTTTCTTTCTATATTTGTTCTGCCTATTTTGTGTGGCCAAAACGCAATTCCTTTTTATCACTGTATTTTTCTCATCTCTATCCTTACACTCACTAACTAATATTTTCTTCTAGTTCTTCATGTCCCCTTTTTTTTTTTTGTCTTGGTTTAATTTTATGGCTCAGCAGACAAGATGAAAAAATACTGAGAAAAAAAATAGTTTGGATTGCAGTGAATATAAAATTTTCTTTTTCTATTGAATTTTGAAAACTTTTTTTCATTTAATATGAACATTTGAAGTCTGTCTGCATAAGATTAAAAAAGTGAGGGAGATGCATGTGCAAGGTTGCTGGTAGGAGAACATTTGGATGTAGAAGATTGAATTCTATTTGCTGCCTGGAATGTGGATTTCCATATTTCTTCTGTCATAGAAGACTTATGATTGGCTTCAGAAAGAAGCTCTATCAAACTCTTCCCTGCTTTATTTAATATAAAAAGGAGTTAGACTAGGTTTTCTGCTCTGTAATAAAGCATTTAGACCACCACAGATTACAGGCATTGAACTGTCATTAAATTGTGTTTTCTGCAAAGCAGAATGACAAGGAAGAAAGAGACTCATCTCAAATATTTGAAGGCAGAGAAATACTCATGAGGTTGTGAACTCTTAGTACAGATGGCATTTCTTTGCATAAAACACAGCATGTGGTGTTGGCGATGGTTTTCATTCTCCCTTCAAGTTAACTACAGAGTAGAAAAAAGCAGGAGGATTGATACAAACAACTGAACTTTTTCTGCCTTTTTTCTTGCTGAGTTGGACTAAAAGAGGTAGAAAATCTTGATTGTAGCTACTTGCATTCTGCCTGGGTTAAAATATGTATTATTAAACAAAAATTTTCTACAGCAGGTTGTAATCTTGACATTATTTTAGCAAGTCAGTTATAACAGCTTCCACACAAAATTCACTAGACTTCAACTTGATAATTCTGCTACACTTATAATGTTTTGGTAATGTAAAAAGCTCTAACCACTATATTTATTCCCATTATCTTTCCTGAAATCTAGGATATGATCTGATTTACTTCTGCAGTTGAGTTTTCTCATCTTTTTTTTTCTTCTGTCTATTATGGTGCTTGCCATCTTAAAATAACAATCAAAACATCTTTGACCACCCACCCATCTCTAAATTCATGTAGAGCTACTTATAGTTCAATCTCCCCCCATTTAATATCTCTTAACATGATTTAAATTTAACTGTAACTGCACTGCTGTTTTAATTATCTTTATTTATAAATGGCATTCAGCACAATCAAACAGATTACTAGTGGAAATGTGTTTTTTCTTATTTGATGAAAGAGTTCATGAAAACTGATTTGCTTCTATGCTCTTCTGTTATTCCTTGTATATCCTGTCACCCTCTGTCCTCTCTTATCTCAACCAATATAAATGTTCTTGTATTTGCCTGTTACTTTTTTTTCATTATGGTAATATTTTGGAAAGAATTTCGTGACCAAGGGTGACTCATAAACTGTTTCCCGAGCTAAATTCATGGAGTATTTCACCTTCTGTTCTAGTTAGTCTATGTTGCTAAGCACTGAAATATCTTTTTTTAAAAGCCTTTGCAGTCATCTATCTGTTGGAAAGCTGGTTAATTACCTACTGTCTTTTAGAAAGAGTTATTTCAAAGTGATTTACAATTTGTTTTGGTTTTTTTATCTCCTATTAGTACGTGTTTCCTGATGGGGCCGCTGAAGCAACTGAAAGCAATGTTTGATCCAAAACGATTAATAGCTACGATTGTGATGTTGGTAAATATGCTATCTTTCTTTCCTTTTATTAAAAAGCTTTCCTTTAGCCTCAAAGCTAAATTTGATGCTTTTCTAAAGGGAGGTTATTTCTCAGTCTGCCTCTTCCTTCTGCTGAGAAATTACAGTCAAGCTGTTAAACTCTGTATGTCACAAAGATCATCTGGCTCCTTTCTATCAACATGTGTGGGTTTTTTGTTTATATTTTTTTAATTAATCATTTGGAGTAAAATGTTCCTTATGAAATCTTTCTTAGTAAATGCTAATGGCAGGTTAATTATTTTTAATTTATTTTCTAAAATACTTTCTTCAAGAACAAGGGGAGAGATTTTTTTAGCTACTGTGGAAAGTCAGTAGCCACCAAGTGTAGCTTTACAGTTGTTTTTTGGCTGCAGTTTGGTCTGTAAAGGTCAGTGGTTCAGCACTTTGAAAGCAATGGAGAAAATTAATTTATTTTCCCAAAGGCTGGGAGGCCACATGTTCAGCTTTGAGATTCTCCATTGTGACATCCCTGGCTCCTTCACTTCCACAACCATCATTTCTTCTTCCTGCAGGATGGAAAAACCTTCTCCCCAGTATCAAAATTCCTATCCCAAAGCTCTGTGCTAGGCAGTTAAAACAACTTTCTCCCCTTGCTGCTTCTCTCTTTAATACTTTTCTGTCTTGCTCCTACTGGTTTGTTTCAACTTTGATTTTTGAAATGTAGTTGGCTTTCCTATTCTCTCTATCATATGACTTGTTTTTCTAGTTTAGTGAGTAAGAAAGTCATAAATTCTTTCTGGATGGCTGTCCTATGTAGGTTGCATGTTCTTCCTCTCGCACAGCCACATAAAAAAATAGTTATCTCTTTTGAGAAGCTTACATTTGCCCCTGTCTTTTGGAGAAGGCACTTGATCATTGCTTGGATTCCAAACTTTATTCAACAGAGTTTTGTTTTGTTTTGTTTGTGTTCTTGTTTTGTTCTGTCACTATTTTCAACTCATACCAAGTTACAAGTCCTAGAAAGGTTACATTTTGTAGGCATGAATTAAAAATGTCCAATAATATCTCCAGTTCTCCTAGAGTCTGTATTTGCTGAGTGTAAATTCTCCAACACTTTACAGCTGTGGACTTTTTCCAATGAAACTGAGAGCCTAAGCCAGACACTTAAAACAACAGGCACAAAAATAATTTTGCTCTGATGATCCTGTCATCCACTGTGCCTCAGACATGGCGACAAAGAAAATAATTCGCTTTGAAGGCTGTAAAAACAAAACATATCAGGGAAATGGAAGGAGAACAGAGAGCAGAGCATATCAGAGACCTACCTGTGCAGAGAGGCTACCAGCAAAGTTGGGAAAATGAGAATGAAAGGTTTCATCTAATAGTAAACATGAGCATTGGATGAGAGCCAAGACTTTTTGTATGGAAATTTCAGTAAAACACATAAGAATTGGTGAATTTAAAGTTTTGAAAACTTTGGATGAATTTGACTGTTTTAATCCCCATCCTAACAAAGCTAGAATTGTAGGGAGTTCAGGAGTTACAAACATGTTTGGAAAATTTCAAGAGTGTGTTACTTTTCTTCCTTTTAATAAAATGCCAACAAATTTTCTTTCAAGTGAAAATTGATTTATGGGTTTTTTTTGTGTTTTCTGCTATGTGTAATGAAAAATGGAGGAAGCCAGTTAAGATCTAGTGGAAAAGTTTTAAGTGATGATTAGGCTTGCACAAATGGTGTGATTATTTCATGTAGTAAACCATTGTAACATTCCATCTAAAGTGTTTAAGTACCTCGAACAAAGCTTCATGTGAGCTTTTTCACTGTACCTGAGGCAGCTGCTCTCTAGTAGACTCTTCATTAGTGAAACCTTTGAAGATGAAAAAGCACTGGCAGATGAGGCATAGCCTGTGTTTACCAGATCCTGTAATTGAGAATGGATGTTTTTAATAAAGGGTTGTTTGTAGTGATGCGCGCATCTTTCTTGTCAGAGATAGGTGTTATGAATACCAGGTTCAAAATGAGAGTATGTACTGGAATAAGAGAGTAACAGTTACCAGACTTCTTGATTCCTTTCAGTAAAGCTTTATCATTTAAGCCCACCTCTGAATAGAACCAACAAATAAGGGTGCACACATCGGTTTATACTCCTGCTGGTTCCTCAAGTCAACTCCTGCCTTGTCTTCCTTTCAAAACTTGTCCCAGCCCTTCGGGCCATTCATACCTCATACTGTGCTTTGAAAAACACCGTGGAGTTCATCATATAGTCACTGTGAGACAGCCTTTGGCTCTGCTTGTTTCAGAAGTCAATTTTAAAGTGCTGATTGCCCATTGAAAACATGGAAATGATCACTGTACTTGCTTCCTTGTGTATTTGAGTATTCATTCTTTTTTTTCTTTGTATCTCCTTCTCACTCCAGCTTTGCCTAATATTGACTCTGTGTGCTGTATTCTGGGTAAGTGAGAATGCTTTTCAGAAAAAAAAGTAATGTCAGTTGGGTAGTTTATTAATTGTATTGTAGCTTTAAGATACAGTTCAGTGGTGAAGGAAAGGTGAACTCATGTGTGGTGTTTTTGTTGTTTGCTGCAGTTGAGCTCAGGTGGAGTGATAAGTCTGTTGGCTGTAAAAAGCAAATGCAACCTTCCCACCTGCATGTGATATAGATGAGGATGTATTGGGTTTGGTCTGCAGACCTCTAGAATAAAAACTGAGAAAGACAAGTTCAAATATTGTTCTGTCTCAGTGATGCATACTTATGTCAGAAAATACCAGAGTGTATAGCCATCTTCAGAAGCCATGGATACAGAATTTAAGCTGGTTAAGACAACAGAAAAAAAAACCAGAAGTACCTTCAAGCATCTTGGTCAAAAACTAACTGTAGTTCCATTCCATAGAAGTAAATATGTCACTGGAATGGACTTCTATATTTGCAGAAGTACAGTGACATGAGTGAGTGTTAACACTGATGTTGTTAGTTGTTTCCAAAGCTAGAAAAGGTTTACATAGCATGATGCTGATGCAGTGATGGATAAAATGAATGGAGAGTTGTTGGAAAAGAAACAGCAAACTAAGACAAGGAAATTTAGTTATTGGCAACTCTGTTCTTGATTGATCAGTCTGTGCCAATTGTTTGCAGTATAGACTGGTGTGAAAATTGAACTAATTTGCAGTATTTTTGCTTTATTTTTGTTTAGTGGAACAAGAAAGGTTTGGCAGTGTTATTCTGCATATTGCAGTTCTTGGCAATGACCTGGTAAGATTCTTAAAATTCCTTTTAATTTCTTCTCCCTGTCCCTACACCCGCGTGATTAGAAACCTATCATATATATATTATTCACATATAAGTGTGCCCAAATGCTAGTCTCAATCTGTTTTTTCTCAGCTAGGTTGTGTAACTCCAGCAAAATCTATTTTTAATCGTCTTGCAAAAATGGTAATTTGAAGTATATTCTGCAATGTGTGAACTTATCTGAAGCCTTAAGAAAGGAGTAGATATGCAAAAAAAAAATTGTCATGCTTTTTCTGTGTTGTAAAAGTATCCTCTCCTCTTTTTTGAATTCTAACTAGTTTTTGATTTTTGAAGAGAAAGAAACTAAAAAAACATTTCCATAGAGTACATCCTGCCCCAGGAATATACTGGGTGGATGTGAGAGGGTGAATTTAGTGCAGCAGGTGCTGTGATGACCAGGGGCTCCGGGTCTGGATTTGGCAGTGTGTGAGTGCAGTCAGGTGAATCCTTGCAAGCCTGGCAGAAGTTCTGGAAGTTACTGCCTTTTCCACAGAGATACACACATGGTGTCATTGTCCCAGGTGAATGACTTGGTGTCCTTATCCCAGGTGCTCACTCTCAGGCAACCCAAGGTGACCACAGTTCTCGCTTGAACTTGCCCTGAATAGACAAAGTATGTCCTGACCGTGGGTCTGAGGACAAGAAACCATTTGTTCAGGACAGGGACTGTTGGGCATGGCGCTAGATAGAGGCAAGGCCACTAGCTCAGTGTATGCTCTGTGTGTTTGCAGCAGACAGTTCACATTTGTTAAGTGTCTTGGGGTTTGATCAGGCTGGGTATGAGAACAGAACACTGCCTGGAGGCTTGTGAGAAGTAAGTTTCAGAGAATAATAGAATTGTCAGCTGAGTGTCACATTTGTGGAATATTATTCATCCTACAGCATGTATTTGTATTTAGTTACATAAATAATATGATTAGCTGTATATTTGCATAGTAATTTAGATTTTCTTTTAAAGTAGAAGAAGTTGTCTCTATCATCTTGAGTACCATTTTCACACAAATCTCTATTCCTTTTGGATTAGGCAATAGCAAATCTGTTTTTTAAAAGTTCATGTGCAATAGAAGTTATGAACTACATTAAAAAAAGGGAAAAAAACGCAATTAAACAAAGAAAAAGTAAATTACCAAATCTGCGTCACTGTTTAGTTCTTGTCCAAACATGTCCCCTTTTCTCAGATAAACATTAAATTGAATAGAATCTTGTTTAAAATTTTGTTACAATGGTTGCTTTCATTAATGCTCGCCTAAAGTGAAATAATTTGGTTCTAGGAGAGACATGAACACTCTGCAAATATACTTTTTTCGTCTTTTTTTCAGGTATAGTCTGTCTTATATTCCTTTTGCAAGGTGAGTCTGCATAATAATTTCCATCTTAACAGAAGTCAGTTGCCTTTACGCTGGGAAAAGGCATAAAGTACTTCACATGTGTGGAAAAAATATAACATCCTTCTTTTTCTTTTAATTTTTAGAAAATGGCATAGCTGAACTTAAAACTCATGCTTAATATAAGCTTTAAATAGAAGTGCAATACATAGTAATTCTCTTTAATACATTTCTTTCTAGTTTCCACCACTGAAAATTAATCAAGGTTTTGTTTAAATAATGTCTGTAATGATTTAACCATAAAATGATGCAATAGTGACTTTTCTGGTCCTAAAATTAAAGGTAGCTTGTGGATCTGAGATCCTAGTTAAAAGCAAACAAGCAACAGTGGCAGCGTCTGTTTCTATGTCTGAATTCCTCCATCATTTTTAGGAGGGGCAAAGGCAACGCTTTATCATTTTCATTTTGGCAAGCTACTCTCTTTCATTCTTGTGTGTACAAAAAGGGAATGAAAGCAGACCAAACACCCAGTGAAAACACATGCAAGTAATCAAATGTAAGAATCTGGTTTTTCTATGATTCATGTAAAATGCAGTTTGGTCTTCCTGACAGTGGGCTTTTTAAAAAAAAATTAAGCACTTCCATATCAATTAATTAGGTTTGCTGTAGTATAGGTGTGGGGAAAAAGAATACAAAGTATTGTCTATCCCTTTCATCTGGTATTGTCCTGTAGCATCACAAAAAAATCTGGTTTTTTAAAGCTACAGATTTCATCTAGGAAGGATTTTTTTTAAGATAGTTGTTGATAATTACAGTGAATAAAATAACTGGGCTCAGACTTCAAACTGTCATTTTACTATTTCTGACATCTCAGACTGACCCAGACAAAAGTAGTATTCTGAATTCTTATAGGTCCAGTGGTCATGGACCAGGTCTCAGTAGGTTCATTCCTCTTCTTGTTTCAGTCTTTTTTTTTTTTTATGGCTTTCTCTCTAGAGGAAGCAAGTTGAGCTTCTGGTCTCTCTGACTTTTTCTTCCCTATCAACAGTACTTCCAAGTTCTGGGCAGAAATGCATCAGCTAACTTATTTGGATTTATTTATCTAATAGATTTTATGAGCCAAAGAACTGAATTTTATATGGACTGCTTTTAGTAATACTGTGATTTCTTTAGGGATTACTGCATTATTTGCTTATGTGGAGTGGTATGATTGATTTGTTGTATAGACTGCCTTTCTTATGGGAACAATGATCTAAACCATGCTAAGTGCCAGAGAATAGTATTATGTCATTTGTTTAAAGTATGCACTTCTCTTGATTTCAAGAAATTATCATTCCTTGGTTTAACTCTTTTCATGGTTTGCTCTTCAGAACATTTTACTTGTTCACGGGTTTGTTGGGGTGGGAGTTGTTGGTTTCTGTTTGTTTCTTCCTGTTGGCCTGGCAACAAAGAGCCCCACTGAACCAGACCCAAATGAAAACAATAACAAATGCAACAAAACCAAAACCTATACAGCTAAGTGTCTTTAAGGAGTGATGATAGTATGTTTCTCTATTTTTTGCAACTGACTAGCAACAGAATACAAATTCCCCTCCTTAGTAAGTTGGTTACTTTTCTGGGAAAAGGAAAAATAATGGAGACTACAGCGAATTATCTGAGTGTAAGAGTCAGAAAACAGTTTATTGTTGATTAAAAAAATTGGAACCCTCCAGAACTTCTAAACCTTAAGGCTGAACCAGCTCTCTGCATCCTGCACTGTCAGTGCACACTTCCAACCCTTCAGCCTGTGCTTTATTTCCTACACTGTGACGGTCCAGCTCTGATGTGGCTTGGAGCCCTGGCAGCTGTGCCTTGCTGGAGACTGGGTGCTCCTCAGCTGAGCCCTTGCTGGGCAGCCTTTGTGAAATCAGGCTCTGCACTTTGCTCGGCTTCCCAGTGTGCTGCAGAGCACTTCCTAATGCTGTGTCTGCATTTCAGCATGGCCCACAATGCAAACAGCATGGAAACCCTGGCAGTGACCTGGCCTGAGCCTTGGTTTTAGCTGGGTTGGTGGACGCACTCACACACAGATCCTGCATTTGATCAACTCTTGATATGTCTTTAGTTTCTGCCATATTTGTAACTGTAAATAGATAATGGTTCAGATGTTTACAAACAAAATAACAAATCTTAACTGACTTTTTTTTCTTTTTTTAAAGGGATGCTGTGATTAAATGCTTCTCATCCTGTCTAGGGTAAATTAAAACCAGGAACCACTGTCCACTTCAAAAGGCAACTTTTTCCTTTGTAAATTTTGCTCAAAAAACTCTACTTTGACGCTTCTGAAATACGCAGTAGCAGTTTAGTATTTTCCTTGCCTTTTGCACTTGGGAGATTAAATAGTTTTTACTAGAAATAGTTTTTAAAATAAATTTGGAGAATTATTTGTGTTTACCCTGGAACTTCCAGGCTTTTTTCTAACAAGAAAGTACATTTAAATATTTCATACAGAGTAGTCTTAACACTACTTTGTATCCAGTAACAGTTTATTCCTCAGTGGAGGCAAGTCACTAAGACCTGGGTAGTATGCATTAAGATTCCATTTACAGTTCTGTCTAAAATTTGCAATGTGCCATTTATGTTTGTATATTATCCATTGTATGCTCTTCCAAAGACAGAGTTTTATAAACATTGTAAAGATTTGGAAGGTTGGAATTAACTGCTGCTTTGAAATGTCTATACATGTGCCTTATGGGAAAAACTTAATGAGAATGTGAAAGGTATGTTTAAAACCTGTTGGATTTTATTAAAAAAGTTGTATTTTAAATGTTTTTTTAAAAAAATTTCATACCTAAATACTTTTAACTAAAAGAACTTACGGCTAATGTATAAATGGGACTTGTGAAATAAATTCATTTTAAAAGTGCCTAATACATTTTTTTATTTAGGAATCAACTATAGAGGGCTGAAAATTTCAACATTACAGTTGAATAAAAATGAAAGCATAAATGTGTGAATATGACTATATCCAAATTTGTTTAATAGATTTGCAGAAGTTACCCTAAAGGTTCTTTTAGTATTTAGACAAACTGCTCATTCTGACTTAATCTGGTAATAGATTCAAGTACTCTAACACGTTGCCTGGCTCCAGTAAGAGGTTCTCATTTCCATTTTTTTCAGCTAAGAACTATCCAGTTATTCTGGAGCAAAGTGTAAATCTTTAATGTTTGGTTGATATTATATTGCAGGAGGTTCTTTTTCACACAGGATGGATGTGCTTACATATGTGTGTTCAAAACTAAGTTGGTTTAGATTTTTTTTTTCTCTTGATCCACAAATCTAGAAGAAGGAATGGCTTTGAAAATATGTGATCTGCACCAGAAAGGGGAAAATATCAGTGTTTTTAATATTCAGAGTTCAGGCTACAGAGACAAATTGAGGTACAGTATGTTCCTGTTAAATCTCAGTGCATATTGCAAAACATAGCAACAACTTTTGGGGAAGCTGTGTACAGGGTGATTGCATTATTTTGCAGCTAGACTTCCAACTAAGCCATGCCTTTTAACTGGTTCGTAACAATAAATTCCAGGAAGGCATTCTCCCTGCTGGTGACTGGCAGGGGGCAAGTAGTCCTGGCCTCACAGCAGGCTCTTGGGCTCACTAGTGCTGTATGATGTAGACACAGCTATTCCAAGTCTGCCCACAGCCCTTGGATGCCAAGGCACCTTTGGGTGAAGTTTTGTTTCCTTTTAGTTTTCAGCTTGCATTGAAGAGGAAGTAGGATGTGCATAGACAGTGATGGGCATCATCCTGGAAGTGACTGTCCCTTCCCCAGTCGTTGCTGTTGACCTCAGCTGACTGGAAAGATCCCGTCCCATCCTAACCCTAGTGCATCAGGGCCAGGCTTTCATTTGCTCCAGAGCTGGTTTTGCCTATCACCTTCTGTAGTCTTTAATTAGAATTACATTGGTTATTCAAAATTTATTTATTTATTTATCTACTATGGTAAATTACAAAGTTACCTTTTGTCTGTTAACACTTAGATCACCAGGAGAGAATTCAAGAACCAAAAGTTCCATGTACTGGTATGCTTCCATATGCACTTTGGTCTGTTAGTTACATCATGCACCTTCCTTGTTTTTTTTTTCTCTCCTGAACATTTCAGAGTTTACTTCCTCCATGTCCATACAGAGCACACACTCTGCGTTGTTTTGCCTCTGTCTTTCCCTCCTTTGCATCCTGTCTTTGTTTACTGTGTATGAGTATTCCAAGAGCTCACAGTTAGGAAATTTACACAGTATAGTAATACCCATTATGATAGTGTGGAACCAAAGGTGTGAAGATCTGTCCCTGTGGATTGCATACATGCTACCCATTTTTTGATAAAGTCTTGGTACCATAATTAAAACAGTACTTTGAAGTAAATGCTGTAGAAATTTTAAGCCATGACTTCTAAGGCTAAATTGTGGAGTGATGGTAATCATCTTGTAGCCATAGGAAATATATGTTTACTTATTACTCCACCATGAAACTCCTCCAAACCTCTGTTGTTGCCCAGGGTACTTGAAAAGATAGGAGATTGCTGTCTTGGATATCACAAAAAGCCACACCAAACCCCAAACAAACAACAAACCTCCAAAGGGTTTGAGCATTAGCTCTGTCACAGAGAGCATTGACGCTAGAAGGAGCTCTGGACTGTACTCTTCATTACCAAACCAGGCAGTACTTGTCCACTAAGTCCGAGTCTGCCAGCCCTAGGTTTGAGTGTGTCTGTCTCTTGGCCTGTCTGCCTGCCCTTATTCATGATACTTCAAGTAATCAAGGAGCTCAAAGTATCATTCTTGTTTTTAAGACGGCAAGATAATTTAACATTTTAAAATATTGCCTTTTCATGCTTGGACGCTTGAGGACTTCGGGAGGAATTTAGAACCTTGTTGCTCGGGGCGTGGGCCCCGCCATCCTCTTTAGTTCGGCTCTGCTGTAGGGCGAGCGGGAGAGGACCGGGAAAAGGCGCCGGAGTAACGCCGCATCGAGCCCGACCTGTGCGGCTCGTTCGGGAGAGCGGCCAGTGCTGGCACGACCCCCGTCCCCGCCCGCACTCCCACCCCGCGCTAGAGAAGGGTGTTCCCGGGGCGGGCGAAGGGCGGGAAGGGGGACGGGTTATCGAGAGGGAAAATCGGCTGCTGTCGGGGCAGAGCGAGCTCGCATTCCGCTCCGGCGGTTCGGGCTCCTCGTTCGCCTCCGGCCATGGGGCTGCAGCCGCGGCGCGCCGCGGGGCCCTGCCCGCCCGCGGGAAGAAGCGCCGCCTTGCCCGGAGCGCGTTCCGCACCTCCCTGGGCGCGCAGCGACGAGCCGGAGGGAACTCCCGGGCGCCCCGCCACGATGCCGCCCCTCCTGCCGGCCATCCTGCCGACCCCCTGCGCTTCTCCCGCTGCCGCCCGGGCGCAGCCCAAGAAGCCGCAGGCGGCTGCCTCAGCCCCCAAGAAGGCAGCGCCTCGGCCCGCAGAGGAGAAGGTGGCGAGGAAGGTGTCGGGGGCGCCCCCGGAGCGGCCGGGCCCCCTCTCCAGCTCCTGGCCCTGCTCGTCCCTGCAGCGGCCGCCGCCGCGGAGACTGCCGGCTGAGCGGGCGGCGCGGCCCCAGCCCACCCCGCCGCAGCCGCGGGGCCGCCCGGGGGCGCCGGGGGCCGGCAGCCGCTCCTGCGAGAGCCTTGGCGGGGCGCCGGGGGAGGCGGCGGGGCGCTTCTCGCTGAGCCTGCCTCCGGAGGCCATCCGGGTACTGCAGCGCCGCAGCCTGGAGCGGCAGCGGGGGCAGCCCGCACCCTCTCCTGCCGGCAGAGCCGCCCCGGCCCGGCGCGGCGACCTGCGGGCTCTTCTGAAGGTTTCGCTGCTCAACGACCGGCACCGCTACGACGACGAGGAATACGAGGAGGAGGAGGCGGCGGGGACCGCGGCGGACGAGGGGCTGGTGCGGAAATGTACCGAGTGGCTGCGTGGTGTGGAGAGTGCGGCCGGCCGCGACCACCCTGAGCGGCTGGAGACGCTGCCGCACTTGGGCACCCTCTGAGCCCCGCCGGGACCTGGGAGCGGCACGGCGGCGGCTGTCGGAGCGGTCGCGCCGGGGGGAGGTGTGGCCACGATCCGCGATGTCGTGTTCCATGCGTTACGGGCGGGTGGCGAGCGGAGCCGCTGGCCCAGAGCCGATCCTCGGGCCTCCTCCGCCGCCGGGGCGAGGGACAAAGGAGTGGCTCCGGCCTCCGCCTACCGGAGCCCGGGTGCTGGGAGGGAGGGCACTGACTCTGGGTGTCCTGCCTCCATCCTCGCGGTTTTTTTAAAGATTTCCGACTACTTTATAAAATGTGCGTAATGGTTTTGTATATTTGTACATAAAAGTTCATTTTTATTTATTTGAATAAAGGAATCTTGTGTTGCGGTGGCCTTCGCGCCTTGGTAGCTTCGCGTTGCGTTGTCCCAGCCTGGTGGTATCCGTTGTCTCGGTGTCCATACGGTAAGGATGGCGGACTGGTCCCCGTGCGGAGACCCCGTGCCGTTCACACGTTTGCTCCTCGGAACAGTCGCCGGCAGTTCGGCTCCAGGGAAAATGCACAGCCGCGGATTCGGCGAGGCGGGAGAGTTAGGGGACCGAGCAGGCGGGGACGAGCCCGTCGCTGCTGGGGGCAGATGCTAGGGGCAGCAGTGCCGGCCACTGCGCCGGCAGGGAGCAGTCCTCCGGGGGAGAGGCAGGAACAGCGGGAGGAAGATGGGGAGGTGCGGGCGGCCGCGGCGTGGGCAGAGGTTGCTCCGGTTCTCTGCGCCCGCGAACCGGAGAGAAGCGGCTGGGTTTGTGCATGGACTTAGCGATTTCATCCCCTCCCAGGCAGTAATTCAGATACATCCGACCTTTCGAGGGAGGGAGGGAGGATCATCCTTTGTCAGCGTCCCTGACCTTTGTGTGTTGGGAGAGGCGAAGAGGGGGCTGGGAGACTAAGTATGCAGAAATTATGGGCGGAAAGGGAAGGGTAAGTCTTTACCAGGCTTACAGTGTCTCGGCCACCTACTGTTGCTCTTACATTGTTGTTATCCAGCTTCCCAGAGCAAGAGTCAGACCTAAACATTTACTGTGATTCAATAAGTGTTTTGCAAATTAATGTTTGAACGTGTAGGAACACGTTCAGCTGAATTTACTTAGCAAGTAAAACAAAGTTTAGTACCACAAATTGGGTATTATAAATTTCACTAAGACATCAGTTGTTTACACCAAATTATATCTGTGCTGACTTCCACTGAATTATGTGAGATAAACCCTTCTGTATATTAGTTGCATGATGTAGCCACGTGCTGCATTTTGTTTTGCTCCATGTTTGTTCAAGTATCTTTTTCTTTTTTTCCACCTGAAACTTAAGGCATGACTGGGGAAATGGTTTGAGAAAATAAATATTTATTAAATGCATTGATACTGCCAAAAAAAAAAAAAAAAGAACCAATATAAGGCAATTGTGAAATAACTATGCTCAAAGGCTGGAGACAAAAGCAAGGGACATGAAAATTTCTTGAGACTAAATCTATTTTATTTAAGCAAATACAGAGTCATTTGTAGTGATAGCTATGAAACACAGGCATTTTTCAAATAATTTTAGCTGATTTTGCATGTAGTTCTGTCATATTACCAGTTTTCATAAACATCTTCAAGTCAATCTGCCTCAACAATTGCAAATTTCCTGCCAAATTTAATACATGCTGGATTGATATCAGAACCACCTTTTTTTGTTGTTTTTCCCTCTTCTAATGATGGAAATGCTGGTAGTTGAGCTTTTAGCTGAGTTTTCCTTTTGTTTCACTTTTCGGAATGTGAGTTTATAAATGAGCATCCTGGACTCTTAACGTGGTTCCTTAAACTCCATGGTTTCATACTAACTACAATCAATATCTCCAGTTGCAATGAAATGTGATTCACTCATTAAGGGCTGAAGTATGTTAAAGCTTACTTGTGAGGCTGAAAGCTCTTTGTTCAGAGTCTGAAGTGTGGCAAAAAATTCAATAAATTTGAATGCAGAGCTGCAGGAAATGCAGTGTGAACTGGGGGTAAGAGGGGCTGGAATTGAAGGGCTGCCAGCTCTGAAAAAGAATGAACCTGCTCCTAGAATGAAGAATTTGAGAACTTGGGAATTGCCTGGATATATTGTATTTGTTTATTTATTTATTTATTTATTTATTTATTTATTTCCCCTAAATAATTCATTTGAATGAAGCTGATTATGCAGCTAAGATCTTTTATGTTAGGTAAGTCATTGTGCATGGTAACTGGAAGCGGGCCTGAGATGACCTCATCCCAAAATGAGGTTATGCAGTCCTGATTTTGAGCTGGATGCTAAGAGCCACTGGACTCTGGAGTCATATAACTAATGTCTGCTTCGAATAGTATCTCCTTCACCAAATGGTAACATCAAGATTTATTGTTTTCAGTATTGCCACCTTTCTGCTCTCTTCAAATGAGAAATTATGCCCTTAGTGTTCTGAATACTTTCAGCTGAAATGCCCAGAAATCTTACAAGTAGTACTGGAACAGACAGAGGAAGTTAATTCCTACAAACCAGCAGTGACTACTGTTCCTTTTGCATGTTGCTTACCTCCTGGTATTTTTTCAGTTTGAAAGAAAACTCTTGGATTACAGTATCTAAAAATTGAAGCTAAACATAATAAAACTGCTTATTTAATTCATTAATATGTGTTATAATAGACAGTTGAGCCCATTAGCAGGTTCCACAAGAAAAAAATGCCTGTGGAAATTCAGAAAGTTGGAAGGTGGAAACCCTCAAATAAGTTATTGCATTGTCTTAGTGCATAATAGCTACTGCTGTCTAAAATCCATTATTTAATTGTATGTCAGTAGACATCATATAATGAACTAATCATTCTTCCTTTCCTTGATGAGAAGGCAAAAACCTTACAAAGTGTTGAGAACCAAAACTCTATCCCACTGATCCCAAATCAGCCTCAGCCTTCCTCCATCTCTCAAACACATGGGTTCAGGACAGGTTGTGGTTGGCATTACTGGAAAATTCAAGTGGGATGCTGTGAAACAGCATTTTTTCTGCCCCTCTGCTGCACTGTGCTCAGTCAAGGTAAGAGAGCTTGCCCCGGACAGATAAGGACACTGCCCGCTCCCCCCAGTTCTCAGCCCGTGGAGCTGCACCCCAGTGTAAGTATTGTAAGTGCTATAAGAACCCTTCTGGTTCTGTACTGGTGAACAGATCAGGTGTCTTCAGAAACACTTTTCAGGTGGCATAGATTTGATTTTGCCATAAGAGCCAAGAAGTAGCCTGGAAGTTGCTACATTTGCTTTTTACCATTTGTACATTAGCCATCTTCAGATTCCCTCAGCCTAAGCCTCCCACTCATAACCCTTTTAGCCGTTGAGAGTTAGGAGCAGCTGGTGCCATGAATGCTTAAAATAATCAATAATTTCTTTGGGGAAGATAGCTTCTTCCTCCAAACATATCAGCATGATTTACAGTGGAAAAACATGCCAAAGCAACACATATTCTGGCTAGTATTTTAAGGTAGCGAATAAATAGTATTGCCTTCCTGCTGCTCCTGAGCAAGGCTGAGAGGCCAGACACAGGTGAAGCCCATGTTTTTCTAACTGAACAATCTCAGCCCTGTGCATTGCTGAGTTTGCTCTTGGGTTCTAGCCCAACTCTCAGCTTTCTCACTCCTCTGATACAGTTAGTACCTTTTTTATTATTATTATTTCAAAGCTGAGGGAGAGCATGTTATTGTCCAGCTTTTATCTTCTTTTGTGATCTTCCTCACCAGTATGCTTGTAAAGCCCTGACAAGCCGTATTCCCTGAGCTGTTGTCAAAGATCTCCATTATCTCACACCCTTTCCAGCTGTGCCTAAGGGGTCTGACACACAGCTGGGTGAGGCCATCTGTCTGGGGGCTGCTGTCCTGAGAGGACAGGGAGTAGTGTCTGTCTAGACCACAACTGTCCTTTCGGTTGGAGGGGGGGCTCTTTCTTTGGTTTTGTGGGTGTTTTTTGTGAGGTAAAGGCACATTCTGTTTTCTTTCTTAAGAAAAGCCTCTTCCCATTGGTGGTTTTGTGAAGAGAGGAAGAGATTTATGAGAAAGTTTGGCTTTGGCACTTCCTGGAAGAGTAGTCACTGTTTTGCAGTGACCAGGTGTGGCAGTGTGTGAGCTCCTGGCTGACACAGCTGCAAGGAAGGGAGCCCAAAGCAGTGCCAAGTCACTACCAGAACCAAAGTTACTGCAGTTCACTTCTTAGCCTTCAAGGGAGATATGAATGTTTCTTTTCTCTTCCCAGGGGGGAAAACCTCCAGCAACAGTCTCTAGAAATAGTGCTGGTAATTTGTTATTCACAAGTGCTCTTGCTTCTGAGAGCATGGGGAAAATGCTGTGAGCCTCACTGAATGAATGTTTGCAGTTGATGGGCCCTAGCCTGGGTCTCCACCAGTTGCAGGATCAAGCCAGCAAATGGATGTGTTATGAGTTAGGAGCCACTTCCAGTGGCACCCAGTGATAACAGTAAGTTGAGAATATAGATGATGCAATGAGGTCTTTTAGTCCTTTTTAATTTTATTCAAAGAGCTGTTACAGGTTATGTTTGAATGATATTATTTTAGTGCAATTTTCCCCCCTTCTTTGCAATATAAAATGAGGAATTTTTTTTTCTCTCTCTCCTTCTCTCTCTGGAATGGAACTCTCGTTCTGGAATGGTTTAAAGATTTCTTGGTTTGTTTTTATTTTTTTATAAAATTGAAAATATAAAAAAACCATGCAGTCTGTGTTTTGCAGTCAGCTGTCTTGAGTTAATGACTGTCCTGGTTTTGGTTGAGATAGAGTTATTTTCTTCTCAGTACAGCACTGTGTTTTAATTCAGCATGAGAATAATGTTGATAACACACTGAAAGCTTTTGGTTTTTTTTGCTAAGTCAAGAACGGTTTTTTTGTGTCTCATGCTCTGCCAGTGAGGAGACAGAAAAGGAAAACTGGGAAGGAACATTGCTGGGACCAGTGACCCAAACTGGCCAAGGGGATGTTCTCATACCCTTAAACATCATGCCAAGTATAGAAACTGGGGGAGTTACCCTGAAGGAAAGTTTATCTGGGTTTGGGAATGGAGTCTGGTATCGGTTAGTGCGTGTGAGCAATTGCAAACAAACTTGTTTGTTTTGGTTTGGTTTTGTTACCATTATTACCTTTTTAATTTTTTTTTAATAGTTATTTAACTCTTCCTATATCAACCTACAAGTTCTACTGTTGATTGTCCTCCCCACTGCACTGGTGGGGGTTGGGAGGGTGGTGCATGGCTGCTGTGGTGCTTAATTGACAGCTGCAGGACAGTGAAAATAGGCCATTGTTATTGTGAGGGCTCTCACATTTTGGGTGGAAGTGCTAAGTGTGATAAAAACTCTGAG